CCCAAAGGCCCCACCCAGCCTGGCCTTGAACACTTCCAGGGAGGGGGGCATCCACAACTTCTCTGGGCAACCTGTTCCAGTGCCTCACCACCCTCATAATGGAGAATTTCTTCCTAATATCTAATCTAAATCCACTCTCCTTCAGCTTAAAACCATTGCCCCTTGTCCTATCACTACATGCCCTTGTAAACAGACCCTCTCCAGATTTCTTGTAGGACTCTTTTAGGTACCAGAAGGCTGCAATAAGGTCTCCCTGGAGTCTTCTTTTCTCCAGGCTGAACAACCCGAACTCTTTCTGCCTGTTTTCATAGGAGAGGTGCTCCAGCCCTCTGATCAGCTTCCTGGCCTTCCTCTGGACTTGCTTCAAGAGGTCCATGTCCTTCCTATGTTGGGGGCCCCAGAGCTGAATGCAATACTCGAGGTGGGGTCTCACAAGAGCGGAGCAGAGGGGCAGGATCACCTCCCTCGACCTGTTGGTCACGCTTCTTTTGATGCAGCTCAGGACACGGTTGGCTTTCTGGGCTGCAAGTGCACACTGCTGGGTCATGTTGAGCTTCTCATCAACCAACACCCCAAGTCTGTCTCCTCAGGGCTGCTCTCAATCCATTCTCTGCCCAGCCTGTAATTGTGCTTGGGATTGCCCCGACCCACGTGCAGGACCTTGCACTTGGTCTTGTTGAACTTCATGCGGTTTGCACGGGCCCACCTCTCAAGCCTGCCAAGGTCCCTCTGGATGGCATCCCTTCCCTCCTGCATGTCGACCACACCACACAGCTTGGGGTTGTCAGCAAACTCACTGAGGGTGCACTCGATCCCACTGTCCATGTCGCTGACAAAGATGTTGAACAGTGCCGGTCCCAGTACCGACCCCTGAGGAACATCAGTCATCACTGGTCCCCACTTGGACATTGAGCCATGGACCGCAATTCTTTGAGTGCAACCATCCAGCCAATTCCTTATCCACTGAGTGGTCCATCTATCAAATCCATGTCTCTCCAATTTAGATACAAGGAAGCAGTAGTGGAAACACAGCAAGAAATCTAAGACCAGTCTCTAACCTGAGGTTTCCAATACTTCCTGCTGCCACTTATGTCGTAGTTTCCCCCCACCCTACCTGCATTCAAATTGTGCTCAGATGCAGAAAGTGCAAAGCAGTACTCCAAAACAGGCAAGTAATTTTAAGAAATATCCTGCTACAATCTCAGGAAAGAGCTGTTTTGAGTGTTGAGCTTCCCTTTCTCTCTTTTCATTTTATTTATGTGAAATCATTCCCATTTACCGATTATCCCAGTAACACCTCTGAAGCTGTGACAGGCATTTTGTCTGCAGCAGGAAGGAGATGGAGAGCAGAAAGTGCCCACATGACATTCTCCCTAGGATGGCCATAGTCATTCACCCTCCCCACATGAGGTTAGAAAATATTTCCCATGGAAATAACCTGGAATATATGTGCTATCTTGTTTCTAATGTGGTCATAATTTCTTTTTCTCTGATTATTTCATACTTCTCTGCATCTTTGTAAACCCTTACAGTTCAAATTCAGTGTTTGATCTCTGTTTGCTAAACTGTGTCCTGGTTCACAGAATCACAGAGCAGCAGAGGTTGGAAGGGACCTCTCTACACATCATCTAGTTCAATCCCCCGCTAAAGCAGGATCACCTGGAGCAGGTTGCACAGGATGGCATCCAGGCAGGTTTTGAATCTCTCCAGAGAAGGAGACTCCACAACCTCTCTGGGCAGCCTGTTCCAGTGCTCGGTCACCCTCAGAGTAAAGAAATTTTTTCTCGTGTTCAGATGGAACTTCCTGTGTTCCAGTTTGTGCCCATTGCCCCTTGTCCTGTCGCTGGGCACCACTGAAAAGAGTCTGGACCCTTCCTCTAGACATCCACCCTTTAAATATCTATAAGCATTGATGAGATCCCCTCTCAGTCTTCTGTTCTCCAGGCTAAACAGACCCAGGTCTCTCAGTCTTTCTTCATACGAGAGATGCTCCAGTCCCCTCATCATCCTTGTAGCCCTCCGCTGGACTCTCTCCAGTAGGTTTTTTTTTTTTCCTTTCTTGAACTGGGGAGCCCAGAACTGGACACAGGACTCCAGATGTGGCCTTACCAGGGCAGAGTAGAGGGGTAAGATAATCTCCCTCAACCTGCTCCCTTGGTTCTCTTCTTGTGCCATCTCTGGCTGAGCAGGAAGTAAGGACTAGTGTCATTTTACAGTTATTTGATTGGGGGCAGGGGGGATAAAAAAAAAAAAAAAGAAACTGTATGTAATACAGATAAGTAATTTGGACAGACATTTAGAGCAAAGTGCCAACATCACCGAAATAGTTTATCGGATATTCTCACAACATAATTTTTTTGTTTGATTTTTAAATGAAATATTATATGTTCTTTTGAAGACAAGTCCTGACGAACTTACCCTTTTACATAGATATCACTTGATTTTTGCCCCGTAAAGATATTTTCATCTTCTAGAATTACATCCTCTGTATTCCAGATTATTACCCTCAGTTCATAGCTGAAAAAGAAAAGAAAGTAGGCCTGTGTATACTCAAGCTCTGGTCAGACACTAATGTAAATCTCTATCAAATCATGCTTTTATAAAGTGAGAAATGTTGTATTTGTGCAAAAGTCTTAAAATAACATCAGCCTCAGGCCTCTACTGTTTACAAAAATGTAATGATAGAGAGGGCATGGTGGCTGCTCTCAGCTCTTGGAGCATGCTGGATGACAGCAGAGTCACTGCCAGCTGCGGATGGATGGAAAATTCCTTGCTTTTTATATGCCTGTTCCTTTTAAATTCTTTTCGCAAAAATGCCGCAGTGAAACAAGGCAAACTTGATCTGAACAACATCATCAGAGCAGTCTCCAATGCTGCTCTGGTGGGCAGCTTGCTAATAAAAACCAGGGCTTCCTGGCAGATGCTTTTCAGAAGAAATGCCTAAAACATTGTATTTGGTGAGATCCAGTACATTGAAAGGGAAGAGAAGCACTGTTTAGAGATATTTTCATTTAAGCAAGTGCAATGGTCTTTAGAAACAACAGTAAAAGGAATTAAAGCTTTCCCATCCTTTTCACTCCCTATATACATTTATGGTGGCCATCCAAAGCTCTAGAAGCTTGAACTGATATACAGATGTTGCAGGTAACATAAAAAAAATTGATATTCAAATATTTAGGTATGCCTTGAGTCATTGTATGAACTGCAAAATAAAAAAAACCCCAACAAATATGTTTGAGAACACCAACATATGATTTTTTCTGGTATGACATGTTGTCTTGGAAATAGCCTCCATCGCAGGTGTGAAACAGTTCGCACCAGAAGTTACCAGGTACCCCAGCTCATGGAGCTCTTGTGGAGATGTTGACCATTAAAACCAAGCCTCTGCACTAGCCAAAGAAACTTTCATCTGCAATGCTCTGTCAGATCCCTGTTCTGTCGGAGACTGTTTTCACGAAGTGTTTGAAGTCTTACGGAGCCTGGAGCCTGTTTTGCTGCAGCAAATATGCATTTCTCAGCAAAAATGTATAAGTCATGCTTGCATGTTTACTTTCTTTCTCATAATTAACGGTTTGACAATATTTTTCCCTGCTTTTGTAGAATACAAAAATGGCAGCAACAATTTGGTTTTGTGGGTATGATTAGTTTTAAATCTTTTTTGGATTGGAAAATGCTTGTTGTTAAGGAGCTATATAGAAAGTTCTGGTCTGAAGAAAGTAATTGTTACATAGATTCTTATTTTTGTCAAATCTTGGCTTTTGTAAATGTAAAGGAAAAGAAACAAGATTTTATTTCATTGTTTCTTGTTCAAACATAAATAATACAGGAATAGTACCTGATGCTGCTTCAGACATAAAATTCTCAGGAAAGGCCTTGCTAAAATATTGGAATAAAGCCGAAACAGGATGGCCTGAGAACGCTCTTGCTCATTTTTGTGTTTCATTTATAAATATTAAATTAGCTTGAAGAACTATGTGTAGTGTTGCATATAAAGCAGCGTAAGTATCTGTGTGAAATTTGGCAGAAGGTTATTCCAAACATATCTCTTCTATCTATTGCTGCTTTATGTGTTTCTTGATCTTATCTTTGAACAAAGTGCTGGGAATCCTATAGATATAATACTATTGCATCACATTAAAGATCTCAACCAGGGTCAAGTAATCTATGTAGCTGAAAGAGGTAGTGAAACCAGAATTACTTCTTTCAGCTCAACAAGTGGATGATAACATCAGAATTATTAAGGGATACTTGTCTCTAGCCACCTGTAATCTCTCTATGAAAAAGGGATATCTTTGTAAAAGAGGTGTGTGATAGCCCTTGATGAAAAAATCATCAACAGTTCTTTGAGTTGTTTAATGGAGGAGAACAAACTAGATGCTCTCTTTGTACTTGAAGTCATGTGAACCTAAGAAAACTTTCTCAGGATCACAGAAGTTGTGATAGTTCTTTTTATAGTTCTTTCCAGACACTTGAGACTCAGTCTTTGAAGACTTATGCCGTTGTGCTGGGAGAAAAGCATAGAGTATTACCCTTTGGGTTTTCTTGGTGAAATGTCCACTGGGGGTCCTGGCAGAGGCATATCTTTAGGAAACATGTCAACCCACATCTGTACACGACCCTTGAAAACAAAGAGATAAACCTCATTTTAGAGAGACTTTAAAAGGCTTTAAATGCAGTTCTGACATCCAAACCCGCTGCTGCTTCTATAAGCACCAACAAGCTCACTATCCTGTAACTGTGATTTCATCTATAAACCCACTATATAATAAAATTTTTATACATATATTCTATCAATCTCTCAGGAATTTGGTGAAGTTGGAATGATGAAGTTGAGGCCAAACATTGGCAACTTCAAGGCAAAATCCATATAAAAATAGTACATGAGGAAAGGAAAAAAAAGAACCAAAGCCCAAATACAAGCAAAATTTGTGTTAACTTAATAAACTAAGGTATTTAAAAGAATGAAAGTATGCAGTCACACTTTGTGTGATTACTGTGTATTTAGGTAACTGGCTGCATACATACATGTGTGACAATTTCCAGGTTGATACTGTACAAAGTCTCATGTATGGTACAACATCTGGATACTGTCTCTGTGAGTTTGCAGGTAGAAATAGAAACCACAGTATACGGAGGAAAGGAAAACTGCTCCTGGGTCTACAATCACCACCTTCTCTGAGCTGCTCTACCTGTTCCATGCCTGGTTTATCCTTATGGTAAAGAGGCCGAGTCTCAATGTGCTCTGGGACCAGTTTGTATCCAGCTCCAGGGACTTCTTCCCAAGCACGTAAAACCTTTAAAGAGAGATGTTCATAGGATTCAACTGGCTCCTCTGTAGGAAAGAGTAAAAAAAAAAGAACAAAGAGAGCTGAATTATAATATTGAACCCCTTGGTAATACATTCCATTAATTATTGCAAATGGTCATTTAAAATCTGCTTGAGTTAAAAGGAAGGTTTTATGTATCACAGCTAAGTAAAGAAGGGTCTTGAAATGCATTTAATTCTCGTAAATAAGGGTGCTCACCAGCATAACTAGAAGATTAGCACTTAGGCAGTAGTTTATAAAACACAGAGTATCATTTCACTATTACAGCAGCAGTTTCTAACAGGAAGATGGAAGAAATCTGTGAACTACTCTTTTTATATAAAATTGCAAATGTAAGGCTTTTCTATGGTTCATGAAAGACAAGGAGACTTGGATTTTGATGGAACTGACAGTAAATAGGCACTAGGAATTCTATCTACACCTCATTTTGCCTTGTGATGGCAATAGCAAAGACACCCCTGGAGAACTGAATCACACCTCAAGTGAAGAGGGTTGAAGTCTGTGGGCTTCATGTCACCTCCTGACCAGCTCAGCTTGGCCACTGGAAGAAGAGAGACCCCAGAAAATGGCACCTCGAGGAAGGACCAATGCTAATATTGAAGGTAGGGAGGATATTGGAAAGCAGAGAAAGCCTTTTGAGCTTTTGAGCATCTCTTTCCTTCCTTTTTCTGTGTGCTCCACACAAAAGGAACCCAGACTTTTGATGCCTCCTAGATTAGGAGAGAAGGACTCAAGTGAGAAGAAAGTTAAGACTTTTTTCTGTCAGCAAACAGTTATCACTTTTCCTACAGTGTTGCTATCTCTGAATTGCTGGTAGGACACAAAAGGTTTGTTTGGGATTTAAACAGTAGCTATTAACCCCTTCCTAATGTCTCAGAGAGGGAGGAATGATGACCCTGTGGTTATGAGTCCTAGTTCCCTCTTGTGCATTGACATGTGTTTGAGATGTGATGTATTTCATCAAATTTTAGCCAGCTAAAAGCAAGGTCTTTAGCCTGAGCTACTCAGGCAGCCAGAATAGCAGGGACAGATCGTCCCCTGATAACCCATATCTTCTCTCAGGCGCCTTTCTAAAGATTGTTTTCACCCTCTGAAGATGCTTATTTCTTCCTATTGGCTGCAGGTAGTCCTAGACTACCTGGGAGTAGTGGTCATGTAGTTGGACTAGATGATTGTTGTAGGATCCTTCCAACTGAATTATTCTATTGTATTCTATTGTAACTTCTATGATCGTAGAGCAAAGTTAAACTATTCTTTCCCTTGCAATTTAAAGCTAGATGTAAGGCCCACAAGTATAATTTTCTCCACCTGTAAAGTGGAAATGGTACTGCTCTCCCTTTTTGGTACGCCTCTGTAGCTCAAATCTGTGGTCTTTGTTAGTTTTAAAGACCCAAATAATGACCAGTACAGGAACCCAGCAGGAAATATGTACCCAGATGTACTTGTCAGAACAGCAGTCTGGATAAGGATCATGCAGAAGACTGTATGCTGTAAACTATTTCTTTATAACATGTTGAAAAACTTATGTACATAAGTACTTTGAATTTTGCCATCTGGTTCTGTATTTCCTTGCTTTTGGTTTCCACCTTGTCTGATGCTGGTTTGTCTGAAGCTCATTTTAGTGAATTAGAATTTTGATCAAGAGATCCTGTTGCTGGCAGTCGCACTTCGTCATCTGTTAGTGAGGAAAACAAACAGCAATACTGGAGCCATAAATCTGTCTCCAGCCAAGAAACCAAAAATTGATCAACTCTTCTCCCTTCAACAGCGATACCTGAGCAGCTTTCCACTCAAGGTGTGAGCTATATTTTGTAGCTGCCAAGGGGAATGTGTTCAAAGATAAATAAACACAGATAAGGGAGTAGAGGTTTCTCTGCACTGCCACAGTGTCTTCTACTGTTTCCAAGACTAGCTCCTTTTGTTCCCCCTTGAAAGTCTCCATCCTCACACCTTTTTCCTTACCCTAAGTATAAAACTGAATCATTGAATGGTTTGGGTTGGAAGGGGCCTATCAAAAATCATCTCATCCAGCCCCCCTGCCATGGACAGGGACGTCTTTCACTGATAGCTCTGTCCCACTCCACCCCTATGTGATATGGACACTCAACTTCCTTATAGCTTTGTCCTCTTTTTAATCCGGGAGCTCTGAAGGCAAGTTCTGTCCTGCCCTCTGGATTCATGAACCCCACAGATACCTGGATTTACACAGCGCTGTGTTAGTGCTTCAGAAGAGCAGTCAGAGTGGTAATAATCAAGAGGAGGGAAAAAATAACAGAGAGGAAAGCCAAGTAGGTAAGATAGGACTAGCAGGTAAGTGGCCTGGAACCTAATTGTGGTCAGAGGACTTCTCTGATCTTGAGTGACTCACTTCATACCTTTACTTCCCTTCCACCTTCTCACTTCTTGGGTTTGTCTACACTAGCATTTTAGTTTAGACAGAGAATGTATTTTTGAAAAGACTCTCCCTGACTTCCCGTGCTTTGATTTCTGTGTGGAAGGATCTCAGAGCATGGAAACTGCACTCCTTTCAGATGAAACTAAGCCAGAACACATGTTCCAAGAGGGTCCCCTGCTCTCCAACCAGTCCTGGGCATCCCATCCTTGGGATCAGGCTGGAGCTAGTCCAGAGTATCCCCCAACACCTACCACAGGGATGTCAGGTCATCAGCAATAACTGTCTCACCCTACAGATTCTCTGCAATTAAGCTACAGTAATAGCTAATGTAGACACAGCCTTCATCACCACAGTTATATGAGTATTTCAAAGCAGGGACAGGTTCCAGTAATCTGACTTTAGAGCACATAGCACAACAGGGTCCCAGCTACAGCTTGTGCAGCCTCTTGGTACTGCTACAATGCAGTTGAAGCATGATAAACTTCATTACCATTCTCATCTTCTGTGAAGACTGTCTGTCCCTTAAAGACTTTTGTTCCTACTTGTATCTCCCCTGGCCGCATGAAGGGTCCACTTATCCTGTAGTCCTTACACAGTTTAGTGAGGATCTCACTTGGCTTGGTTGCATCTCGCCACGCATTGTACCCTTCTCTGCAAGGAGGGAACAGAGTGAAGAGAAATGGGTGAGGTTTTACTTCAGCAAAGTGCACTGGCAAATCAGGACTTCCCATGCAAAGATTCACTCTGTGGTCAGTGGCTCTGACATCGGCTCAGTCAAATTTTTCCTTTGAATTATCCAGCACTACTTCTTATTTGAGACATCCCCTCCGTCTGCTCAGGTCCTGGGGCCAATTACTCTTTTCTCTTAAAACACAGGAGAAGTTGAGGGAGCATAACTTCTCTGACAGATTATTTTCCATTTACCCTTTATGCCTCTCCAAAGGCAGTTTATCAAGCAGGTATGTTATACATAGGATGTTTACTCTCTAAAATACTTGGTGAACAAACAATGTTGTTAATTTAAAAATATCCACTTCCTACTGAGGCCGGCAGCTACCCAAAGACACTGCTAAGATCTGTGGTGAAATTTAGTTAAAATACCTCCTGTGACATTTTTGTTCTGCAGAAAGCATAATATTTAGCCACATCTGGAATTTCTCCTTCAAGTCATTCACTGTGTTCTGCTCTCTGTTGCTGTCTGAAGAGGTACTTACATTTCATATTGACTTTGTAATCCACAAGTAGCTCGATGTCTGCTATAGAAACGATTTTCCAAATCAATTTTAGTCTCTCCAATGAGATCATCTGTTCCCACGAAGTCATGGTCGTAGATCTGGAGTGTGAGCAAGGAATCCTTGGGGAATGTAGCTTGGATTTCAAATGATCTACAGCAAAAAATAAGAACTATGTGCAGTCAAATCAGTTTTGAAGCCTAAAAGACTGAGTTAATGAATACTATGCAAATGATGTGTGGACAGTGTCTCTTCTAATAAGCAGTGGAGGTTTTTCGGTAGTGTTTTATGGTTTGATGAAATATCTGAACATACTGGAAACACATAGTGCAAAAGTATTTTCTTTCTCCTGCTTCCCCACCATGCCCTGTACAGGATTGTTCCTACCTACAGTAGACAGAGCAATGGGATGGAGCTGGTCAGTTGCAATAATTTATCCTGAATCTAATAGAGGTGGAAGTATGGAAATAATAAAGCTAAAGAAGCTGTATGAGAGTTCTGACATGCTTTTCAGAACCCCCGAAAGGGACATCTGAGTCTCTTCTGTTTTCTTCCAAAAGCTCCAAAATAAATATTGAATATAGGAATCTGGGGACACCCAACAAAATGTTCAGGCAAAAGCTTTAAAACAAGATTCAAAAAAGAAAAGATCAGAACTCCCTTTTCACTCAGTGCATTTTTCAGGGATACAAATTGTTGTTGTTAGATGTTTAGGGAAGCTGAAAGTATAAAGGTGATTTTAAAAGGGATTTGACAAATTAGTGGAAGACAGGACATCCTCATCAACACAGCACTGGCTCCAGATTTCTCCAAAGCACAGGCAAAACTGAGCTTTGTCTCCTGAAGGATGAGTTTTGTCCTTTTTCTCAAAGTCGACAAAGTCAATTTTGTAGCAACAGCAGGGCAGTTTTTGGAAGAAAGAGAGGTTTGGGAATGGTCTGGGATTGCCAGAGGTTGGTGGTGCCATGCTGACCAGGGCTTCTAGGATGGCAAGAGGTGGTTACCATGACTGATGCCACTGCTGCAAAGGAGTTTCTGGTCCAGTCACACTAGTGATGCTGCTAGCAGCAGCAGCAAGGACTATCCAAATGAACAGCCCATTCTTAACCTTGTCTAAAACAAACACAGTGGTGATTTCCCATTCCATCTATATGCATCTATAATGGCTGTGCTTTATGGTTTACCGTAATGACGGTTCACTTGCAACCTCTACTAAGGAAGAGCTTAAATCACAGAAACTGAGATGGCATACTATGGAGGGACCACTCTGTTCTTGTCTTCTCTCCTTACACTTTTTTTCTTTAAGTCTCTGCTTTTGCGGACAGGACACTGGCCTAGAGGACTTTCAGTCCAACATAGGATAGTTTCTCTGCCTTAGCCTTCTTACAGAATAACTCCATCCCAATTCAAAACATTTTCAACCTTGGCAAATAATCACAGCTATTAGTGTTAACAATATAAATAAGTATAAGGCATTGATAATACAAAGTCAATGTTTACTGACAGGTTGCCCTTGGCTTCCTTATTCAGAAGACTGTGTGGGTTCAAAAAACTAGATTTTTTTTGTTCTAGTCCTAATATTATGAGATTTCTTTGGCACTTTGTTCAACCTGAAATAGCAACAAAGATTGTGAAATCACACTTTACTGAGCTGATGTTTATTTCACTTTAAAGATAACAATTGCATTAATTTGCACAGATCATTTGTTGCCTCATTTCCTCTCATGCATCATTTCGCAAAAACGTCTCACAGATTGCATTCCATGATGTGTTTTGACTGGTATGAAAATGAAATAATTTATAATCAATTCTCAACATTTTTCTCAATCTTTTAACCAGTAGAATTACAAAACATCTAAACAGGCAGAAATCAGCATATAACAAATACTTTTTAATGGTAATAGTAATATTGGTGGCAAGTGATAAAGCAGAAAATATCCCTGAATAAGAAAATAAGCCATCACTGACCTTCCAAATACTGGGTTTAGCTGCTTGGGGATGTAGTTTTCTCTGTCTTTGATTTCTGTGTTGCCCAGTCTCAGCACAATGTAGGGATCTGACTTGCCATCTGGATCAGCTGGGCTGAGGTTAAATGCCTGTTAGGAAGAAAGGCTGTGTCCTCAAGAAACTTGCTTAAATACTGTATGGTCATGACACAGGACCATGGGTTTCCTGCCCAGTCCTGGGTGTTCTGGAAGTGCAGGGGCTTTGCTTGCCTCATGTAATATAAAATTCGGCATTTAGCTTTGCAGACTACTGGGAAAAGATGATCTGGAGAAGAGTGAAGCAGATATGAGTGCTGTCCCACCACTAAGGCGGAAAAAGAGACAAGCAGGAGAGGAAACACCGAGGAAGAAGCTGGCTGCACAAGTACATGTAGAATTCAGGAAATGTTTCCCAAAAGCATTGGTCCAGATCCTTGAACAACGCAAAACAACTCCTCAGACTGTATTTATGAGATTGCTTGGAAGCCTTTATATTCAGGAAATAAAGCAACCTCTTCCTATTCTTCTCTTCTGTTTTGTTTACTACTGTCTCTTTGCATGCCATTCTTCCCCTCTTAGGTCACCTGCAACCCTCGTTTCTCTGAAATACCAGCTCCTTTACCCCTTTCACTTCTCACATCATGCTCCTTATCATCTTTTCCTCTATATTTCTTCCTCTTTCTCCACCCCATAGCTTATTCACAAAATCCACCACTTTGATTACAGGCACTTCACAGCTCTCAAAAAATATGCTCCCATTACCCCTTACTGAGAAGGTTTTGTTTAAAAGCATGTCATTTTGAAACAATTCTACTGATTAAAACTGGCTGCAATTGCATAATGTGTCTGGAACAGGTTGTCCGTACTATGTTAGTTATGTCCCTAGCCCTTTCAGTTTGAACAAGTGATTCTCCAGTCTTCTGATTTATCATGCTTGATTATTGTGATTGGTGACAGCCAAGACGGCTTCACTAAGGGCAAATCATGCCTGACAAATTTGGTGGCCTTCTATGGCAGGGTTACAACATTCATGGATAAGGCAAGAGCAACTGACGTCATCTACCTGGACTTGTGCAAAGTATTTGACACTGTCCCACACGATATCCTTGTATCTAAATTGGAGAGACATGGACTGGACCAAT